AAAGAGAGAGAGAGAGAGAGAGAGAGAGAGAGAGAGAGAGAGAGAGAGAGAGAGAGAAAGAGAGAGGAGATGGACACTCACAAGAAGTAGCAGCTGAATGAAGGTCTAGTCCGGCCCGAATGAATGAACAACTGAATGAATGAACCTCCCGCTTTTGGCCTAGGCCGAAGTGATATATCGGCCTAGGTCCAAGTACGGGATAACCTGGTACCGGACCAGGGTCAGGCCGACGGCCTGAAACTGGTCCGGCCTCACTGCCGGGCCGTAGGGGTACCGCTACATATTTCGTTGTGCCTGACCTCCCTGTTTTGAGAAGGCGGGGCTCAATGTCTGGGCCTGAGGGCCCTTTTGCAGTTCACATGCCCTCACTTATTTTTGGGGTCCGCTTCTACCCGGGGTCCGGTCCAACGCCCCCCACTTCTTTTTGGGGTCCACTTCCACCCGAGGACCGGTCCTTCCTTTTTCCAAAAGTCCCCGTTCTAGCAGAGCTAGCTGTAGGTAGTCCGCAGTCTTGCCAAGGACCGGTCCCCCAAATTTTTTTGCCCCTTAAGAACCCACTTTGCGTCCTGGTCGTCCGCCGCAAAAAACGCGACACCTTGACACAGACGTGGACGCCCACTATACTGTAAGGGCTGCGAATTATTGTCTACCGCGTGGGTGCGGGGAACGCAGCCCTAAGGTAGCCAAATTAATGAGACTAAGAGTTAACACAAGAGAGAGAGAGAGAGAGAGAGAGAGAGAGAGAGAGAGAGAGAGAGAGAGAGAGGGGCGGAATGGCAAAATTGAAATATGGGTCAAATTGCAGCCGCAATCTATTTCGCAGTTGGAATGATTTTTTTTAATTTATGTAGCGTTTTCCCTGGAAAGATCACAACAAATCTACAAGTACTCCAATTTTCAGGTCTTTTCACGCATTCTTCTGAGCGCGAAAACTCACTGAATTTGGAGTACTTTTTTAGTTGGCCCAGGCATGGCTGAGTGGCAAAAATGGAAAATGCGCTGAATCGGCGCGACGATTATTTCGCAGTCTAAATTATTTTTTGTAAATGTTCTATTATTATTTCTGGAAAGAACACGACCTTATCTATTGGATTCTCAAAATTTCAGATTTTTGTGCATGTTCGTCTAAGCACAGAAAATCGTCAAAGTTGCCTCTTGCAAAACGCCTGTTTCGTTGTGCCTGACCTCCCTGTTTTGAGAAGACGGGGCTCAACGCCTGGGCCTGAGGGCCCTTTTGCAGTTCACATGCCCTCACTTCTTTTTGGGACGCTTCTACCCGAGGACCGGTCCAATGCCCCCCACTTCTTTTTGGGGTCCACTTCCACCGGAGGACCGGTCCTTCGTTTTTCCAAAAGTCCCGGTTCTACCAGAGCTAGCTGTAGGTAGTCCGCAATTTTGGCAAGGACCGGTCCCCCAAATTTTTTTGCCTCCTAAGAACCCACTTTGCATCCTGGTCGCCCGCCGCCAAAAATGCGACACCTTGACACAGACGCGGAAGAGAGAGAAAAAAATAGAGAGAGAGGGAGGGGGGG